GCTTAGGTTTGATTTCTTTATGCAGTGCACCAACTGCCCAACCATACAAAGCAGCTTTGAGCTCTCTCTCTATATCTGTGTTGTCTAGCACAGGAGCCACTGGCCGGCCACATGGGGCTGCTGAGCACTTGAAACATGGCTAGCCCAAATGAAGACATGCTGTCAGGGTAAAAATACATACTGGTTTTCAAAAACTTACTAGTAAAACAATGTGAAAGAGCTCATTCATAATTGTTTTATATTAATTACAGTTTGAAGTGATGGTACTTGAGATACATTGGGTAAAATAGAATCTATTACTAAAATAGATAATTTCACCTGTTTATTACTTTGTAAAAATGTTGCTACTAGAAAATTTAAAATCACGTGTATGCCTCACATTCTATTTCCATTGGACAGCACTGTTCCACAGTATGAGCTCTGAGAGAACAGGGGTCCTAGCCGATGTGGCCATCGCTGGAGTCTGAGCATTTAGCCGGGTCCCAGGTTACATAGTTGTGTATCTGCTGAATGAACGGAGGCGTCTCAGTTCTTACCTGGCAGGAGTCTCTGCCTGTTTCATCGCCAGCACAGAACATAGTGACATCTATCTGTCTTGGGTAGGCCTCCCTGCACCTGTCGTCACTGAGCACAGTGATGTTCAAACACTGGAGGACCTTAGGGAAGTTAACTGTCAAACAGAGACATGCAAAGTAGGACCGCAGTGAGTGGCAGGGAAGGGCAGGTAGGGCCAGAGTGCTCAGGGACAGAGACTGGGAGGAGGCGGACATAGGTGGGCATCAAGAGGGACCTGGACACTCACTGTTGGGACTGCTGACTGTTCCCCAGCCAGATACCATGCAGCGGGTCCCAGCGGCTGGACAATGGGAGGAGATGTTAATGGGCTTGACATCCTGAGTCTCATGGATTCTTCTGTTCAGTTTGATGAGCATAACATCATTGGAGTGGCCAGGGTGGGTGTAGCCAGGGTGGGGGATGGATTTGACCCCTGAGAACAGCTGCTGGCTAGATTCATAAGTGGGTGACAGGGAATGGTGGCCGAGACGGATTTTGAACAATCTGAGGAAGACAGTGCAGGTCACCTGACCTCTATCTCGATAGCCAATGCCTGCTGCAGCCACAAACCTAGTCCCAACCCCACGCCGTCCCAGCCCCAACACCATCTTTCTCTCCAACCCCATGCCTATCCCAACCCCAGTCACAATTCCAAACCCACCTGCCACCCACTCCCAACGCAACCCCAACCTGAATCCTTTCCGCACATGGAAAACACCACCATATTCCTTCCTAAACCCAGATGTAACCATCCTCAACTTCAACCCCACCCATAACTCTAATCTCAACCCCATCCTCAAGCCTACATCTATTCCCAATATCATCTCTATCCCGACTCCTTCTTTATCTTCATGCATCCCAGTTGCCACCTGCCTCCAATTCTATAGCAAACCCTAATTCTACCTCCCTCTCAAACCATCAGCGTATGCATGTCCATCTCCAACCTCAAACCCAACTCTAACCCCATCCTGAATCCCTTACTCACCCCCAAATCATCAACATATGCATTCCTAACCCCAAATCCAACCCATCCCTATCTCCCATCCCCTCCCACAACCCTCTCCCCAACCTAACTCATCCCGCACCCCTACTCTCCTCCCCAGCCCCATCCTTAATCCCATCCCCAACTCTACCGCCTCCTGCTCCCTCATCCTCAAACCATCGGTGCCAGGCTCTCCCCTCCATGCCCCCTCCCCATCCATCCTCCCCCCAGCCCTTTCCAGCCCTCCTCCCGGAGCCCCCACTCACTTCTTCCAGCAGTGGGCGGCGGTGAGCAGCCATTGCGGATTCACCAACACGGCCCCACAGTAGAGCTGGTTGGGCTTCAGCAGCAGCGCGCCTTGCCAAGGCTGAGTGTGCACGTCGCAGTCGGACCCATTGACGATGCGGCTGCCACTGCTGTCATTCGTCCGGCTGTCGTCTGTGGCTTCAGCGTCAAGGTCCTGGGTGCTCCCGGAGGTCCCCGTGGCAGAGGGCTTGTTGCAGGAATCAACATCATTTGCAAGAACAGGCCCTGGGTGCAGAACACGGGCAGGATGGGGCGTGGGTGTGGAACTTGGACGAAAAGGTGGGTCTTAGACCAGCCAAGAGCTGTCTGATTTCTGAAGAGTGTTTATATTGAGGGGGCAAGGCCAAGGATTTGAGCGTGGGGCCAAGGCACTAGAAGCGGAACTTGGAGAATATGTGTGGAACCGCTGAGAGAGAGAGTGAGGCTTAGAACTCAAAGGCAGAGTTCAGGCTCAGGCGGTGAGACTGGACTCTGACTGGACTTTAAGATCCTGGGAGTGGTTTGAATGGGACCCGGGAAGGTAAAATTGGACAACCTCGGAGGTGAAGCCAAGGCTCAGGGGGTGGGGCCTTGAGATGGGCCAGGTAGCAGGGCTTTAGGAGGTGGCGGAGCCTGAGACGTGGGAGGGGCTTGGAATTACTTGGGTAGGGCCAAGGCCAGGGTCACGTGGGGGTGATCTTATAAGGAGCCCCTAATCTGCGAGGGGAGGTGGGGGCTGGGCTCCAGGACTTGAGGACAGGACAGTTGAAGCCTGGATCAAAGGGAGAGCATCATAGAGGCTGCGCTTAACTGGTATGGGCCCAAACCAAGGGTCCCTGACTGTAGATGCAGTCTGGGCTTGAGTGTGGTTGAGAAAAAGGGACAGAGTCAGAACGCATGCGTGGAGTGAAGAGCTGAGGGGAGCAGAACCAGGAAGGGTGCTCTGCTTAAGGGGCCCAGTGGAGGGAGAGGGGAGAGCTGCTTTTCTGCATTCTCAAACACAAACATGCCTCCTGAATCCTCCTGCCAGTACTCTCCTCCCCCCCACACACCTACAGACAGGTATTCCACGCCATTACCTGTTTCCCCACTCCCCGCCGTAGTTTGTTCACTCGTGCATATTCTTGCTAATGACCCAGAGAAGAGAAGCTTTATGCACAAACTTCAAGAAGCACTCACACAGCAGCTGTCACAGACAAGCACACACAGAGACACACACATTGTCTCCAAAGGGGCAGCTGCATGCTTAGCCCTGTCTTGTGGTACACACACTCAGGTGTGGCCTTACCTGATCTCACCCAACCACACACAGT